AATTTACGTTAATTTTCATTAAATTGGATTAATACAACAAAAAACCATGAAATGATATACATGTGATAAAGGGAGAGTAAAACCCTAAAACTAGTATATTCATCAACTGCCACGTGTCATTCAACTCAATAATTTGACGGTAAAATTTAACGGCAAATTAACGGAGAATAAATTTTTCACAAATTTACCAGTTTGAGGTTTTTTGTGGTCAAAAAATTTGTTTTGAGAAAATTTATCATATGTATACCAGTTTGGAGGTTTTCGTGGTGTTAACCCTTTAAATAATTAAAAGATCTCGAGAGTCTTACAAATCATTATATTCACATGTTTATAAAAATTGAGGTATTTGAGATTACCCGGAAAATCCGGTGGAAACTCGTAATGAAGTTTAGTAAAAGAAATAAATTGAATCATGTGAAACCAAACATTAATATCGCGTAATCCGTAGACAGTTAAATTATATATAAGTCTAAAAGTTACGTAAGAGAATAATTTTTTTTAAAAGGGTTAATATTACGGAAAATCCCAAACTAATACACCTGTGACAAATTTACCTAAACTAATTTTTCAACCACAAAAAATCCCAAATTGGTGCACCTGTAACAAGTTTACCCTAAACTAATTTTTTTACCACAAAAAACCTCAAACTGGTACATTTGTGACAAATTTGCCCTTCATTAACTTAGATTAATACCACAAAAAATCACAAACTGATATACCTGTCACAAATAGAGGGTAAAACCCCAAACTAATACACCTGTCAACTGTTACATGTCATTCAACTTAGAAATTTGATTGTAAAATTTAACAGAAACTAATAGAGGGTAAAATTGTCACAGATGTGTCAATTTGAGGTTTTTAGTGGTAAAAAATTAGTTTGGGGTAAATTTGTCATAAATGTACCGATTTGAAATTTTTCATGGTATTAGCCCTTTAAAAAATATATATGTAAGAGATTACTAATGATTTTAACTATCAAGTCTGATTTGCATATTCAGGAAATTGGAGCAGGAAGGGCCAAGTACTGCATATAAAAATCAAATTTCAAACATTAAAACAATAAATCAACCATGCGCCATGCTTGTCACCCTTTAACGAAATTACCAAGTCGCTAGTGCTAGGAAATGTGTCGGCCTAGGCATGCATGCGATGGATGTGGAGTTGGAGCATCATGCGGTTGAATGAAGCATATATCACAATGAATAATCAATTTTTTCCTTTTTTTTAAAACAATTTTATTCGGGCTAACAGATTTAGCAAATTATAAACCGAGCGCAACTGATGTGAGTATGAAACCAAACTCCATTGGTCCATACTACCGATCCATGATAAATCGAATTGGAGTTATTTGACGCGAAAAAAAATAAACAAACCGAATTTTCTCTCTCGCTCTTATAGAAATGGATCTCATAAATTCATAAAACTCAATTACACCTCTTTCTCTTTAAAAAAAAAAAAGAGAAGAAAAAACGAACTCAATCTTATAACGGATTTCAAACCATTACTCAACTCGAATTAATCTGATCAAATCGATCCCGCTTCTCACCTTCCTATAGAAACTCGCTTTAATTTCTAATCGTTTCCCATCCACAATTTTTTTTTTAAACTCTCTTCTTCTTCTTTATTGAGCAAACCAACCTGCAATCACATGGACGTAGAGAAATTTGAAGCTCTTATATCGCGGCATTGAGGTGAGTATAAAATCGAGCAAAATCAAATCGAGTTATTAAATGTGAAATTAAAAAAATCAAACCCAATTTATTCTATCCCTCTTTAGGCACGGATCTTATAAGATCCATTAAAACTCAATTTATGAGATCTATTTCGGAATAATAAAACTCAATCAAACGTCTTTTTCTTAAAAAGAAGGGTTAATATCATGAAAAACTCTAAACTAGTACACTTGTGACAGATTTACCCCAAACTATTTTTTGACCACAAAAAACTCAAAACTGGTACATCTGTGACAATTTTATCCTGAACTATTTTTTTGACCACCAAAAACCTCAAACTGGTACATCTGTGACAATTTTACCCCGAACTAATTTTTTAATACTATTTTTTCGATTTTTTAGTTTTACTTATCTTTTCATTTTCCTTTCCTTTTTTTTTTCCCTTTATCTTCAACCTCTGGTCGGCGAGGTTGGCCCCGCCGATCGCTAGCGAGGCCTACCTCGTCGGCAATTGGCAAGGTCGGCCTTGCCCCACCCCTAGCGAGGGGTAACCTCGCCGCTTTTGGGCGAGGCCTACCTCGTCGGCAATTGGCAAGGTCGGCCTTGCCCCACCCCTAGCGAGGGGTAACCTCGCCGCTTTTAGCAGAGCTAGCTGCAGCTCGCGGAAAGAGACGACGTCGACAACGACGACGCCGCAATCGAAACCATTCGACAAAGTAAGTAAGAGCGAAACAGAGCGCGGGCGACTGCTCTCTGTTCGTGTCAATGATTCGTCATTAGTTTTGGCTTGCGAGCAAAGATTCGGTTTGATTCTGAGATGATGATAATCATGATTTTCTGATCAGCTAGTAGGTGATTATCGACTTCGCTAATTTGTTTGCATTCAATTTCGTTCACCTGATTCTCGTCGTTGAAGCGAACTTTGTAGTCGACCTAGTTTGTTTGGTCTCTGTTCCGAAGTCGAAATTGAATGCAAATAGTTCGACGCATCTACAACCGTAAATCTCTCTGAATATTGGTGTTAAGTGACTCTGAATCCGTTCGTATTTTTACATGTCAACCTTTCCAGTGAACTCGTAGTGATTTGTCTGTGCATAAGATAGAGAAGTAATTTTCACTACTGTTCGAACATGATATGTCTGATTCACCTCTTCGACGTATGTCTTCCGATCATACAAGAACAATTCAGCTTTTGTTTATGTTATGCGACATTCGAATTGCACCATGGCATGGCATGCAAGGATTAAGAACGAGTATCCTAAGCTAAAGTCGTCAATAATCACTATTGGAACACTAGATTGTCATAAATCTAGGAAATGCTTTTGTCCTGACATTCTGCATCCACCAACGTATGGTTAACACGATGGCCTGTTGTTTTCATGTTCTTTCTCCGAACTATTCTCATTTTTTTTTCGGTTTGCAGTTATTTCTCAGGGAAAAAGCTACAGGATGCAGGAATCTACACTTGCAATATTGTGAAAAAGCTACGAGATTCGGGATCCACCACTTGCAACAAAGCTATTGCAACTGGTGTATGCCAGAGTCTCTCAGCTTTTGCACCTCTCCAGCATTTATTCCCCGAGAAATGCTTCATGATGCATACAAAGAAGATATCTGATCTTCAGTTTTGAGAATTAAGTTGAGGTTCCTCTTCTTATTTGGCTAAGGTGATTTCCATTTTCTTTGTTTTGGTTTTTTTTTTTAGTACTTTATTGGAATCAAAGGTTTATCTGAAGCAAAAGTTGACAAGATATGCGAAGCAGCTGAAAAGATAGTGGTTAGAGCTTAAATTACTTGTTATCCTGAGATGGTGGCTGCAATCAATTGGAACTTCTATACGCATCTCACGTTAACTTCCCTTTGTTTTCATCAGAATTTTGGTTATATTACTGGAAGTGACGCTCTGCTCGGAGTACGTTCTTAATTTTACAAACTAAAATGGTTCGGAATACCCGAATGAGTCATTGACCCTTGAAATAAAGCCTGCAAATTAGCACATGGACTGTAGAAAGCTGCACTTGCTCTAAACACTATTGACCTCACAGCACAAAATACTTTTAATGTCTTCGTTTCCAGAGAAAGTCAGTTGTACGCATCACAACTGGAAGCCAAGTCCTCGCTGAGCTTTTAGGCGATAATAGACTACCTTTTGCAGATCGTGTATATTATTCATCATGCGTTTCAACAAAAACGACTTTCACTGATCTGGAAATGTTAAACAGGTGGTATTGAAACTCTGGCAATTACAGAAGCATTTGGCGAATTTCGGTGAAAAGCAGAGTCCAACAGCATTAGCTTTGATGAACTTTTACTTGCTTTTGTTAGTTGGTTTTCTCAGAAAATGCTGTTAACGTCACTTCAGGTCTGGGAAAACACAGCTGGCGCATACCCTTTGTGTTTCTACTCAGGTTGGTCTGAATTGCATATTAGGTTTCCGTCCTTAACTTCTGTTGCGTTTTATGTTTCCTAGATTAACAACGCAAATATGAACATGGTGATTGAATTTCTAGTAAAGAATACAGCCATGGGTGATCTTGGCATCAGAACGTGCGTATTAGGTGATTCTGGAAGGACGGCACTGTCATTTTCTGTAATCTGCAGCCAGTATACTGGAATGCATAATATGCAGTGGTTCAAACCAAGTAGAAAAAAGACAGGAGAGCGTAGTAGGTCATAACCAATCAGAAGCCTTAATCATTGTCAAACTTGGACTTGGGTTGATCATCAGTTGAATGTGATGCTTGAAGTACTCTACTTTATATGAAAATCCTACAACATTATTTTCCCCTCTTTCCATCACTCATTATTAAAGCTAATCCCGTTCCATAAGATGATGATTTATGGTTTGTGGATTCCATGATCCTAACAATTTTTCCAGCTGCCAACTCGCATTAAAGGGCGGAATGGCAAGGTAGCTTACATCGACACGGACGGAACTTTGTAATCTATTATAATGTGTCAGTCATTTTCTTGACCTGAACAAAGCTGCTTTTGTTTCATACTCGGCTTACGTCCATGTAAGTGCATATGCACTTTCTTAAGTTGGTACACATGCAGTTGCCCTGATCGAATTGTACTAATAGCCGAAAGATTTGGCATGGATCGTGGTGCCATCCTAGGTAATCTAAGCAATGCTTTCTACACTGGTGACCATTCTTCCTTCTTTTCTGGCTAATGTACTTGCTGTAATCTAGTCTTTCCATGAATTTGAAGATCATTTATGCCTGTGCCTATACTTATGAGCGTCAGCACAACTTGCTTCTTGTTTTGTCTGCCAAAATGTCTGAAGAACCAATTAGGTTACTGGTAGGACAGTGCTCGAGAATCAAACTGCACACATTTTGTGAGGTGTCGATGGTTGACCTTAGCTGAGTTATATCCTTCACACTGTGGATCCAGTGATCGCTCTCTTTCGAGTGGATTTTACTAGAAGGGAGAATTTTCAGAGCGTTAGGTCGATTCTGAAACCATCAAATCATGAAAGTTATAATTTGTCAGCTCATCTGGTTTGATACTAATAGATTCCCAATTGCAGCGAAAATTGGCACAAATGCTCTCACGCTTACTTAAGATAGCTGAGGAATTTAACTTGGCAGCATACATGACCAATCAAGGTACCACATCACATCTCATTTCTCCCACATAGTCATGCATCCACTAAAAGTTCTTATCCAATTGAGCCCTTTGATGGTTGCACACTGAAAAGGAGCAATTTGGGGACTGCACTAAGCTCATACTAGTTCTTGTAAATCTCAAGAACCAGCTATTTGGTGTAAACTGGCGATGCATACAGTAGCTGCAGTCCATGAGTTAGGAAAAAGATGATTTTTTGATGACTTTGTCTTTATTTTATTTGTTTCAGTTGTAGCTAATCCAGGCAGTGGTGTATTCGTATCAGACCCAAAGAAACCTGCAGGCGGGCATGTTCTGGCTCACGCAGCCACAATTAGGTTGATGTTTAGGAAAGGCAAAGGTGGGCAGCGCATTTGCAAGGTGTTCAAGGCCCCAAACCTACCTGAAGCTGAAGTAGACCTATCAAAATGGGTCATAAACCCATTTCTTAATCCATATATTAGTAAATGGTTCATATATGGGTTAGTTATATTTAATAAATGGGTAGAAGTCTTATATTGGTGTTAAATGGGTCGTAAATGGGTTTACAACTGATTTAAATTCAACGCATTTCTATCGCCCTCAGTCAATTTTGCATTCACTCACTCCGCACTCTCATTTTAGCTTGGGTATCAATTTTTCTATATTTAATTAAATATGGAAGTGTTTTAGCAATATGGGTCTGATCAGGTATGGGTCGGGTCGGGTCGGGTCGGGTATGGGTCAAGAAAATTGCATTGCGCATAAATGGGTCATAAACGGGTTAATGGGTCAATTTGGGTCGGATCATTTATGACTCGACACAAACCCGACCTGACCCACCCATTTGACAGGTCTAAGCTGAAGCTATATCCTTTTTGTGCTGAATCTTCCTCTAGTTACATACTTTATTGAAATTTATGAGATCATACTGCAGAGACTAAGTAAAATATCTGTAAGTCTATATCAAAATCTACAAGAAAGTTGATACTGAGTCTACATATAGATAGGTGGAAACCTGATTTAAGCATGATGCTCACAGTATACTCGATGTTATATGGAGATCTGCTAACACGTTGAATACCAAATTTGTGCAGAGGAATTAAACAAAAAGAAGTGGATATCGAGAATTTTTCAAAACCATCACTTTTGTCAGAAATTTTAGCAAGAGCTCATATGTCAATAAAATGAGACTGAGATTTATTTCATCTATGTTGAACTTGACAGCCACATGTTTTTCAGATAAGGACGGGGCATAGCCGATGCAACGGACTGAAGAGGTCTCTCCAACCAGGATGGTCAGGCGAAGTGCTTTATTTTCTTTTTTTGTTAATCTGTAATTTGATATTAGTCATAGTATTGACAGCTTCCTCTATCTTCCTTCATATTAAGTTTGTATTGGCATGCGTCAAGTTCTTTTGACTGCTTAAAAGTTGCACGAGAGTTTGCCGCTTTGGTGTTAGTATCTAACATGCTACCATTGTCTTTTATTAAAGTTCAGATGACCTCTCACAAGGCGTCGTGTAAACTCGATTTCCATATGAGAACCGGCATGCTCCAAGTTATCATGGTTCGCATTTGTCCTCATACAACAATGTTGTCCCGGCCTAATTTACTAGTAGAGATAACAATTACACAATAGACATCTAATTAAAGAAAAACATGACATTGAATAGACTCTCTGCATGATGGCTCAATGAAATGCCAAAAAGATATTATTGCACATAGCATGATCAGGTTTTGTAAAGGCTTAGTTCTATAAGCAACATATACAGCTGGATAAAACAATGTTATCTCAAATTCTCAACACAGAGCAACCGACCATTAGAGTTGAAAATTGTTAATGTATGAGAAAGGGTGACTGGGTCATAAGCAACAGAAGGCCATTCAATACCTAATGGCCTGGCCGAAAAAGGGCCACAAACCATACGACTCAGTAGTGCGAGGACCAGTTCGCAGCACTCCCAACTCTAGGCATGCTGGACTCCTTCTTAGTCTCCGCGTCCACTTTGAATGTGGCGCCGCACACTTGGCCAGAGCTGTCCACCCTAGGAACCGGCTTCACCTCATTCGGTGGGTGCTCATAACTCCTCAAACCTTTGGAGCTGGTAAAGAAGCATCCTGAGTAAAAAAAAAGCCAACATTAAATGTGAACGATTTGGAGCTGGATAACCATCGGAAGAGCAACATTGCAGGTGAAAATGCACATGTCAAAACATGCATACAAGTAAAGAACACCATTTTAACCTTAGATTATAAATTTAGGTTCGGAACCATTCTTTCCATTACCCAACAACATAACATTCTTCCCTGAGCTCTGCTTAATATCAGCAGAACTCATCCCTCCCTACTTTTCACGTTCCAATGCTCAGACAAATCTCCAGTGACGCTGCATTAATGATCCGTGAAAATAATTACCTTTAGGAAATGGTGCAACAGTTTCCCATAGCCCTTCTTCATGACTTCTACATCATTCAAGAGAACAAGATTGCCTTTGGAATCACTTCCCCAGAAGAAAGGGAAACTTCTGTCAACATCCTGTATGATTAAGAGGACATAGAGGATTAGATAGATCGCAGAAGGAGGGAGAGATAGAGATATTTAAGAATGAAACCATGAAAATCATTATTACTTACAACCGCCAGAAATGTGGTTTTTGGAGGGCCGTCGAAGAGCACAAACGCAAACTTTCCGGTGACGTCTCATACAACTTGATCAGCAGGGTAAGGCCTCTGATCTCCCTGAGTTCTATAAGCTTCTATGACAGTAATGATGTCATTGGCAGTCTTGTTCAATCCATATTGCTGCTTGAGAAGAGCAACATCCTCTGGGTGTCCTTGAAACAAGCAGAAGATGTCATCGCAAACGATCATGCCACAGAGGGTAACTCGTCAAATATCTATACAATAACCGGAAGAAAGAAAGCTTCTTATTTTGAATATTGACCAGAACATGTTGAAAGAGATTGTTCTTATTTAGATCGTATTCATTAGAAGATAATCCAGAACACATCAGTGTACCAAATAAAATTAATAGCTCTTTTTTGTATTTTGTTAAATTGGAAAAAACGACCCATATAATTGACTACATTAGTCTGACCTCAGCAGCGTCTGCACATGATCCTCCCAAGAGATTTTGCTAATACAGATCACCATGGTATCTGCAAAACAACCACAGTGAATGAGCTAGGGCACAAGAAAAAGATGTTGGGAAGAGAACATAGAACAATCGCTGAAAATGCAGAGGAATATGATTGTGGAACGCTATGATTGTTGGTCATTCTCGTGCAAAGAATAGTGCATTTTCATTCACAATTTGTTTGGTAAGTCACTCAAGTGCAAAAATAAGCAAACTTTTTGGGCATCAAGCAGAGTTGAAAATATGTCATCAGTATAGCAAGAGACAGCACCGTGAACATTTCGTCCTACAGATGCCAATCTTTCACCTTCAATGGCTGGTTTCAGACATTTATGTGAAAAATTTCCATGAGGAAAATCAGTTTGTATTAAGCATCGAATTGAGGAAACTGACTTCAGATGGACGAATGAATTGCGGCAGTTAGCAAATGAAAGCGAAAGTTGGATTGATTTTACTTCATTGGATCCAAACCCAATCAATCTTGATGAGAGCAATTTCTTGGATGAGGGGACAATAGTCGCCAGTGAGTTTTGAGCATCGATCTTTCAGAATCTCACATCTAGATATGAGCAATAGTTGGAGGGAGGGAGGGAGGCCATCCTCTGGCAAGTACCTCAACTTCGGGCAATCTTCAATCCATAAACGTTGGAGAGAGGAGAGGTGGTTGTGAAGACTGCTTGATACTCTTTCCACGTTCCTCGTATCTGTCAAGTTAAGAGAGGTTAGAGAAGAAGGAAAGAGAAGACTCCACGCATCCTCGTCCTCATAAGGAAAACACACCTTCTCTCTGAATTCGCTTCCAGAGAAAGTTGGTTGTTCGCATCACAACTGGAAGCCAAGCCCTCGATGAACTTTTAGGCGGTAATAGACTTTTTTTTGCAGATTATGTATATTATTCTTCATTTGTTTCAGCAAAAACAACTTTCTCTGGTTCGGCAATGTTAAACAGGTGGTATTGAATCTCTAACAATTACAGAAGCACTTGGCGAATTTCGGTGAGAAGCACAGTCCAACAACGTTACCTTTGATGAACTTTTACTTGCTTTTGTTATTTGGTTTTGAATCTCCCACAAACTCATGCATCCGTTAGAAGATCTTATCCTATTTAGCCCTTTGATGGTTGCTCATTGAAAGACAGCAATTTGGGGACGGCACTAAGCTCATACTGATTCGTGCAAATTAGTGATACATAAGAGTAGCTGCAGTCCATGAGTTAGGAAGAAGATGATTTTTTGACGACTTTGTCTTTGATTTATTTGTTTCGGTCGGAGTTGATCCAGGCGGTGATGTATTCATATTAGACCCAAGAGAAACCTGCAAGTGGGCATGCTCTGGCTCTTGTAGCCACAATTAGGTTGATGTTTAGGAAAGGCAAAGGTGAGTAGCGCGTCTGCAAGGTGTTTGATGGCCCAAACCTACCCGAAGCTGAAGCTATATCCTTTTTGCACCAGATCTTCGTCTAGCTATGTACTTTACTCCATTGAATTTTACCCGATTATACTGCAAAGACCAAGTAAAATATCTCGGAATTTATATCAAAATATGTGAGAAAGTCGATACCGAATCTTTATATGGATAGGTGGAGTCTTGATTTAAGCATGATATTTACAGTATACCTAATGTTGAATGGAGATCCATGAACGTGTCAAATATGAATATTGTGTGGAGGAATTAAATAAGAAAGTGGATGTCGAGAGTACTTCCAAGCAGGACTGGTTGATTAGCTATGCAGCTTGTGCTATGTATATGATGCACATCTATCATTACCATCACTTAATTTCACTCAGAAAATTTGGCGAGAGCTCATCATGTCAATAAGAGAAGACTGAGACTTGTTCCATGTGTGTTAGACTTGACGAACACGTTTTTCAGATAACACCAGGAGGCATGGCCGCTGCAAAGGACTAAAGAGGTCCCTGCAAGCAGAACAATAAGATCAGGCACTAAAAATGATAATGAAAGAGGGTGCCATGTCTGGACGGGCGGGCGGAATGGATGAGCAAAGGGTGCCATGGACTGAGGAAGATCCCGAGTCTCATCTAAGACAACTAAATGCACCCCGAGGTTCTGCCAAGGAACTGGGGGACCTTCTTGAGCACAGGATAGGCAATTGAGAGATAGAGCTAGCCTATTCCCTTTTTTGTTGATCTGCAATTTGATATTAGCTGAGTATTGACAGCTTCCCTCTTTCTTCTTTTTCCTATTAAGTTTGTATAGGCACGTGTCAAGTTCCCGTTGACATCTTAGAAATTGCAAGATTGACTGCTGCTTTAGCCCCAATCTCTAACATGCTATCATTGTCTGTTATCGAAGTTCAGATGATCCTTCATAATGTGTCGGGTTAACTCGATTTCCATATGAGAACCAGCATGCTCCAAGTTACTTTGGTCCACTTTTTTCCTCATTTAACAACTAGTAGAGATAACAGCATTACAATAGACATCTAATTCGAAAAAACGTAACATAAGAAAAATTGCATGATGGCTAACTGAAATGCCAGAAAGATATTATTGCACATGATCAGGTTCTTTAAAGGCTTGGTTTTATAAAAAACATGTACAGCTGCATAAAACGTCATCTCAAACTCTCAACATAGAGCAACCGACCATTAGAGTTGAAAATTGTCAATATATGAGAAAGGGTGACTGGGTTATAAGCAATAGAAGGCCATTCAATAACTAATGGCCTGGCCAAAAAAGGGCCATAAACCATAAGACTCAGTAGTGCGAGGACCAGTTCGCAGCACTCCCAACTCTAGGCATGCTGGACTCCTTCTTAGACTCCGCATCCACTTTGAATGTCGCACCGCACACTTGGCCAAGCTGTCCACCCTAGGAACCGGCTTCACCTCATTCAGTGGGTGCTCATATCTCCTCAAAACCTCCAGAGCTAGTAAAGAAGCATCCTGAGTGGAAAAGAAGGCAATGTTTAGAGGTGAACAGTTTGGTGCTCGAAAACCATTGGAAGAACAACATTGTAGGTGAAAATGCACACGTCAAAACACGCATACAGATAAAGATTGCCACTTTAACCCTAGATCAACAAGTTAGATTTGAAACCAATTTTTCCAACTCATGCCAAAGCTTATGCATCTTTACTTCCTATAAGTCTTCCAATATGTTGTTACCCAACAATGCAACATTCTCCTGTGAACTCTGCTTAATATCAGCAGAGCTCATCCATACTTACTTTTCACATTTCAATGTGCGGAGTAAACTCCAGTGAAGCTGCATCAATAATCCCTGAAAATGATTACCTTTCGAGAATGGTGCAAAGGATTTCCCACAGCCCTTCTTCACAACTTCTGCATCATCCGAGAGGACAAGATTACCTTCAGAATCACTTCCCCAGAAGAAAGAAACACTTCCATCAACATCCTGCATGATTAAGACAAGAGAAAGGATTAGATAGATCTCAGGTGGAGGGAGAGATTGAGAGAGATATTCCAGAATGAAACCAATGAATAAAGTCCAACAAAAATCAGTTTGATCTAACCATTGCCTCTCTAAACAATGAAATCAAGAATCTTTGTTTTTTTAGAGCGACCGTTACTATTATTTTTTCTAAAGCTACCATTATCAAGAGATGGACTGGGTATTTGAATAGAAGAAAGATGAACTTTAATTTTTGACCAGGCAATCAGTTTTTAAAAGGGTTTTGATCTGCAAGTTCATTCATAATTTAGCTGTTAAATTCGCACATTCAAAACCTCTGTTTTCAATCTATTCTTCCATCTACACAATAAGTGTTATAAGAAGAAAGAAAGCTTCTTATTTTGAATATGACCTGAAAATGTTGAAAGGATATTATCTAACCAATTCACATACAGAATTTCATTATAGTATTTTTTGGCTAGGGATGGCCTACGATATAGTTGCTAAAAGCAATTCTGTACTTAGAGTTGAAAGTACAAATTTTTTGTTGATCATGAAAATATTATCAAAATTAATTCTCCTGAACAGTGCCAAACAACGAAAATGGGGAAAATATCTTCGTACAGCTAATTTCTCATAAATTATACCAGGACTGCAATCCAGACTCAGTTTTTAAGCTATTGGCAAATGATACTGCATATTCAATGTCAAAGACTTAGACTTGTCCTTCTGCGAACCCTAATCAAATGACACACGTCTGCCGCTGTAAATGTGAGTACATCCTGTATATCAGCAGCAATCGTCTCCTCATCCTTTTTGATTTTCTCTTTGTAGATAAGCCTCATTATATGTTTTGTAAGGTACCGTGACCCCATTGAACCACTCTTGGATGATTAAAAGAACTAAACTTGCCTGATTCAACGAGGACTGAAGTATCTTCTTATGATCCTGGAAATTCCCATGGAAAGGCACCACCTTGCCTTGAGAAACCACCCAGAGCTCGTCCATGCTTCCAGATATTACATGCTCATTGTGACTAACCTGCAAATCAAGGTGAAAAGAGGGCTATTATATGTGAAGACGATAGATCATTGGTCAAATTGAAGTATTTAGGCAAGAAAATCAATCTCACCATCAGAATTCCTCCTTGGAACAAGACCAGACCTTGAATGAGCACCTCAACTGCATTCAAATCCTACAGTTTGGGATAGTAAAAAACGCATAATCATACTCATCAATCCTTAGACAAGAAACTAGCAATTTACAAATATAACACTTTAGTAGTCACTGGTCATTAAAGCAGAACTTAAAGTCCACATTTATAAACAAAGAGATTTCCACATAAATTATGTGCAAAGCCCAATACTGCCTATAGGCACAGATATCTGAACTACTCGGTATTATAAATTTCTGTAATACAAAAACACTGATCAGGCTAGCATAACTATTCTATTCCCAATATTTTGCAAGTTGGAACTATTACATTGGTTTCCATTCCATTATAAGTTAGATGTATGGTGACAGAGGCTCCCTGAAGCTGTGATCACTGATTGCTGCTTCTGTATTTTCAATGTAAAGACCATATTCCAATAAGTTCAATTAGTGCAAGACTATAACAAGCTAACTGAAATAGTAACATAAGTCACAAGGTGGAGAAAAATGAGTTAAACTTACCAGATGATTGGATGGCTTGTCACGCAAAATGCAACTCTGCTTTTCTGACCACCTATTTATATGGTCAAAGCACCATGTTATATTTGCAATAACATCCAAAAAGCCTAAGAGAAAGTACAAAGTGAACCGCAATTCAGATTACACATTAACTAACCTCTAATGGAGCCTCACAATGTCATACGAAAATTGCTTCAACAAAAAATTTACAGATCCAACAGTAGCAGAGAGGGAGGAGATGTATCAGACAAGGTATACATTGGTTGAAGTGCAAGATTTCCAGTTACACCAAAGGAACACAAGTGGGCTCGAAGCTTTTGTTCCGGAACTCCCTGCAGGAAGAATGCCACATAAGAAGGTATTTTCAGACAAAATGACAAAATGTATGATGAAATCTTACTGCGCGGTGGAGTAAACGCAAACAACCGATACTTTAAAGAACTGAATAGATTTGCCCCAGAGCTCACTACTGGCAATGCAAACCCAGAGGCAGGCAGCATATCGTTACATTCTCAACCAAATAAGCATGAGTATATTGGCTAAAAATTTCTAGCATGCTGTAAGTGATAGTTCCTAACCCAACAGAGATCAAGACCCAAACGGAAGGTGGTTTATGAATATCGATCCTATCATGAATTGGAGTTGTATTGAAAGCTTGGAGCCATGAGCTGCCCCAGACAGACTGCTTCACACTACGAAGGATCATTGTTAACGAAAAGAAGGTTCTCGATGATAAAGAAAACCATAAAAAAGAAAAAAAAAACAGTATCCGCTTCCATATAACTAATCGTGTTTTTAGATTTTGAGAGAGATTATTCTTATTTAGATCATAATCACTAGAGGAAAATTTAGAACATATCAATCCACCAAATAAAATTAAACGCTTCTACTTTTTCTGTAAATTGCAAAAAATGAGACATAACATTCACATACTAGGAAGAGGATAGTGCTGTCAAAATTGGGATCTGGATCCCCCATTCTTCTTACTGCATTTGCTTATAAGCATCGAATTGAAGTGCAGAAACGAAATTGATTCGATGCTTTCAAGACCAAAGGACTTACCCGAACCCATACAAATCTGACCGTAGATGGAAGAAGGAACCGCGGCAGTCAGCAAATGAAAGCGAAAGTGGATCGATTTCACTTCATGTGAGACATCTCCACGGGAAAGTATCATTTGGTATTAAGCATCGAATCGAGGAAGCAGAAATGGAAATCGATGCCTCCAAAAACCATAAAACTCACCCGAACCCTAGGAAACCCACTGTACATGGCCGAATCAATTCACCAGATCTGATGGTTATCAATGTTGATGCTCGGGATGTCTTGGATGAGGGGCCAATAGTCGCCACCGAGGTTTGAGCATCGATCTTTCAGAATCTCGCATCCATATATCTCCAATCGTTGGAGGGAGGGAGGGAGGCCATCCTCTGGCAAGTACCTCAACTTCAGGCAATCGTAAATCCCTAAATCTCGGAGAGAGGAGAGATGGTTGCAAAGACCGCTCGACAGTCTTTCCAAGTTCTTCATCTCTCTAATGAGAAGATAGGTTAGAGAGGAAGGGAAGAGAAGACTCCAGGCATCCTCCTCCTCCTCGTTCTCCTCCGAAGGAAAACTCACCTTCTCTCCCTCCCCTCCCATGCTCCTTCCGTCAATTCGCAGTATCTCGAGGGAAGTGAGCATGTGTAGGCCCCATTCTCTCATTGGCTGCTTCAGGTTCTCGCACCCCCAAAGGAAAAACGACCGCAAATCGGGAGGCAAATCCCCTTTGGGGAAGGATTTGATATTTTCACAATTCACAATAAATAGAAACCGGAGGGAAGTAAGACGATGCCACTCATTTGGTAGTGACTTTATCTTCGGGCACATAAAAAGTTTAAGGCTCGATATGGACATGGGAAGGGGAGGAAAGTCCTCCACCTCCAATTCTGGACAGCAATTTATATCCAATTCAGTGAGATTTTTACAGCTAGCAACGTTACAGTTGGTGATAGACTTTATCTTTGGACATTCACTGAGAGCGAAATATGACAGGGTGAGGGGAAGGGGAGGGAAGTCCTCTATCTCCAGTGCTGGACAATTAAATATACTCAAACGAGTGAGATGGGCGAGCGTGCGAAGACACTGGGGTAGGCTTCCCAGATTCTTACAGTCGGAAATAACCAAAGATTTCAGCGATTCTACTTCGGTGATCTCTTCCAGTGACTCGAGTCCCTCGTACTCCCAAATATAAAGTTTCCTCAGAGCAGCAAGTCTACCCTCGGCAAACGGAAACGATATCCGAGAATCTTGATTACGAATCTCCAGGTATTCAAGTTGTGACATCGTGTTATTGCTGTCGGGGTCGTCTGGAGGAATGGTTGGTCCCATGATTTTTGGACAATTCGAAATGCTCAAACGTCTAAGTGCATGCATCTTGCTTGGAAGCCTTTCTAAACTCGTGCAATCCGTCAATTCCATCCATTCAAGGTTGCACAAGAGCTCTATCTCTCCTTCTCCCGCCACAAAAGATGTGAATCGAGGACAATGTTGGATGACTACACTCTGGAGGCAAGTAAGTTTTCGTGTTTCATTTCCATCTTGCCACAAGTAGGTTAGCTTGTCACAGCCTCTTATATTGAGCTCCTTTAGCTTATGCATGCAGCTCATAAACCCAGGATCAAAGCAAACAAGCTCCTCAATATCTAGAACTTCGAGAATGGTTAAAGAAGTTAGTTCGACTAAGCTCTCAAAGATCTCCTTGTTACAACTCACAAGGTATAACTCACGGAGAGATGGAAGACAAACCATACTGGTTGATTCATTCAAACGCGGGCAATCACCAATTTCGAGCTTTATGAGATGATCAAGTCGACAAGGCAATGTCCCCATTAACGCACGACAGCTCCGGACAACAAGATGCTGAAGATAGGAGAATGGTACTTCATTTTCTTGGCCTTCGGCATAAGGAGACCAATCTTTCCATGCCGACATCTGATCAAACTTCAAAATTGTTAAGGATGGAAAAGGGCGTTCAATTCCGTAAAATTCAGAGCCTATCACGCTTACTGCATTTAAACCTTCAAGAGATAATTCTCTAAGTGAAGGTAGCTGTCCAAGTGATGGCAGCGATTTAACATTAGGACAGCCACGCAAGCACAAAGACACTATCTTAGAGTAAGATGGATCACCTAACCATGAAGGAAATAGTCCACCACCATAGTACGAGATGGTGAGATTTTCAAGATTAGTGTGAGGTCGTAGAGCGCGAAGCACTTGTTCTTCGCGCTCATCATTTCGGAGATTTCCAAAATCTTCATCCCAAAGCAAGATTAAGTTGCTGAGGTCCTCCTTTCCCAACAAATTAGCATCTCTAACTTCTTTCACCTTTTGCAATTCAGATACGATTAACCCTCCTTGAAGATGCGGCAAGTTCTTTAACTCCTTTAACTGTGACCCTTTCTCTAGTGCTACCACAAATTTGGACAAGATAATAAGATTCTTCAAATTACCGATACTCAATGGCATCTCTTTTAGACTCTCTGTATCCCTAATGTCAAGAAACTGTAAGCTAACCAAATTTGTGATATCCGGAGGCAACATAGTAAGGCGCTGACAACCTCTTAAGATCAAAGCTTGTAATTTGCACAAGCCACCAATTGACTCGGGTAGCCTTATGATGTTAGTGTACGAGAGATTAAGATATCGGAGATGTTTTAAATCACTAACACAATCCGGTACCTTTATGATGTTACAATGACATAACGACAACACCCGCAAGTACTTCGAGTTTGTTAGCAACTCATGCAGCGCCTTGTTGGAAATAGAGAAATTACTTGAACCCGCACCAATTCCAACACGCAATACCATTAAACTTCTTAGTATCTTCATTCCGTCATATGCTCTCAAGCATCTTGATGTAACATACCGTGATGAGATGAATGATGCATAAAGAGCTTTCTTATCAAGAGAGGCATCATGTTCATCATCCCCCGGTTGAGACTCCCCAGAGGTAAAGCACGTCCCACCCGCAATCGACTTTGCTAGGTCATTCAAAAGATCGTGCATCGAAAACTTAGATGTGTTAACACTAGATTGTTGAAAAAAGGATCTAGATACTAACTCATCGAAGTAATTCCGTCCTGGTCTCAAGATATTCTCATTTGCTTTTCGTCCATCTACAAAGCCCATTGCTATCCATAAGAGCACCAGCTCATCCCTCTCAAATTCGTAGTCCTTGGGAAATATTGCACAATAAGCAAAACATCTCTTCAAATAAGAAGGAAGATGGACATAGCTCAATTTCAAAGCTGGGAGAACCTCATCATTTTTTTCCATCGTTGCCTCCCATATTCTATCATTTAAGATAGCTTTCCATTCGTCGGGATTCTCTTTGTTACGTAAGAGGCCACCCAATATCTTCGCTGCCAAAGGTAAACCTTTACATTTTGCAGCTATTTTCTTGCCTACTGTTTCAAGATATGCATGCCTCTCAAAATTTCTTTCTCCCAGAGCATGCTGGGCTAATAAGCTTGTACAGTTATCAAGGGACAACTCCTTCAAAGTATATGGAGAAGCTCCTGTTATGTAAGCAACAGGAAGGTTGCGCGCTGTGACAATGATCTTGCTTCCCTTAGCCCCTGCTTCGAATGGCTTTAGGAGGACAGTCCATTCTTCATACTTCTCATTCCAAACGTCGTCTAGAACCACAAGAAGCTTCTTTTCGGCTAGACTGTCCTTTAACTTAACTTGAAGCCCGTTAAGATCTTCGCCCTCGGATGGCAACCCGGTGACGGACCGCAAAATAGTCTTTGTTATGTCAAGAACATCAAAAACATCTGAAACACAAACCCATGCTCTCCTCTCGAAACAGCTTTTCACTTTGTCATGATTATACAATCGTTGGGCCAAGGCCGTCTTGCCAACACCGCCCATCCCAACTATGGGGACAATGCTCAGAGTGGCATCGGAATTTTGAACGTCACTGATCAATAGTTCGAGTATCCTTGCTTCTTCCTTCTCCCTGCCAAAAAAATGAAGCTCCGATAGAGAAGTGCTGGGGAGCCTTTTGTTGGTGTAGTTGGATCTGTCCACAACATTCTCTCTCAAGCTTAGAGGAGCCTTCTTGGTGACAATATCTTCAAACCTTCTCTTGATCTCATGTACCTTAGGGTCAGACACGAGCAAGCGCGGTCGGCTTAAGAAAGAGAACTTCCTTTTCCATCGACCTCTGCTTGTGTTGGATTCTTCCTCCGACTTGGCACGAGCGGCTTCAATCTCGAACTCTTCAAGCAAGTGTTCCATGTCATTGGCCAAGTCCCTAACATCGTCCAGCCACAACTTCACCAGATGGTCACCGCTGAGTTGCTTGTCCTCTACAGCATCCAGCAATGCATTGATTTTGACTAGCATCCCCTTCCACTCATCGAGGATGATGGTGCTGGTTCCTTCCCGTTGCACATAATCCAATGCCAGAGAACTCAACTTGTCAAAGAGGACTTGAAAGAAGGAACCCAAAAAGATCTCTCCAATGTCCATGGCGAATCAGTCACTGTAGAGAACAACAAAGGTTATGGAGAACCAAAGTGATAGTGAGCTAATGGAGAGAGAAAGCTATAAAGTCCGGAAAGACCAAGACTTTCTCCTGCCAAAAAGATGCAACAGCGGCCAAGACTTTTAAGGATGCACATCAGAGGTTAGATGACAAATCAAAGTAAAATAAGTTTTGTCCACAAGTGCTTGTTTCGTAATATTTAGAGAATATTCCCAGAGATTTTACTGGATATCATGTGCCTTCTTTGTCTGGAGAGTGAAGCAAAAGTGAAAAACAGCTCACGGGAAAGAAACTTCAATAGACTCCAGGAAAACCCAGACTTTGCATAATGCAAATTGGGGTTTGTTGCTTCACTTTACACATCCCTCCTGTTCCGACCCCAAGTGAATGTCTCTTCTTTCTTTATTAGTGGAACTTTCACGCGTTACATGTCTTTGCTTAAAATTGACGATACTATAATTTTTGTCCAACTCTTTTCCGGTGCATTCATATCGTGATTTTTGCTTCATTTATCTAGAATTATGTCTAGAGTTTCACGTATCTTTTCAAATTTAAGTTCAATAAAAGAAAAAAGCAAAGAGAAAAACTAAAATGAAAAAAAAAGCGAAAAACTAAAAAAGAAAAAAATGCAGGGATGGGGCAAAAGAGCACCGGCATCCCACGGCCTCTGCCGTGCTGATGCCGTAAGGACTGCCGCTAGGGTGACATTTCCAATGTCGCCACCTTATAGTCACCTTCGTAGACAATATTATTGTTGAGATATTATTCTTAGAGCGGTTTAGGAGTTAGGGCTAATGATACCGTAAGTACCTAAACTTTTGTTCATTTTCTAAACTTTTTTTGTTGTTCAATGAAGTACCTCAAATTTTCAAATTTGGCTCACTTTAAGGCATCCGTTAAATAAATTGTCATGCTATATGATTTTGTTGACATGACTTGCTCACTCAATATAAGTTAAGCATAACAATTGACGTGGCTCGCTTAACCAGCGGATTGGGTGATGAGGAGAGAGAGAATGTGTGTGTTCATTTAAATGATCTTAACGTTCAATATGTCTCGGCTAATGTGCAACATCTCAAAATATCATATCGGATGCCCGTGTGGACAATTAATGGCTATTTAGCAACGTTATCGTCATATCAACATTTTCCGTCCACGGTTTTGACTAAGGTCTTGACCCATTGAACAAAAAAAAAACTTTAGACACTTGATTACAAAAAAAGAGTAATAGTTTGGATACTTGTGTGTCAATATCCAAGAATTTGTCATACGTTGATTGGTCCAGATTCAAATCTCAAACGTACTTTTGTTTACGTGATATTTGTCCTACAAATTCATCCCCTGGATTCATGCTTGGTCTCACTTTAATAATATCTGTATTAAGATTTGTCGTTCTGTCATGTAAAAGAGAATAGGAAAAAGTTTTGTTAATCTCACGCCATTGCAAAAAGATTTCAGTGGCTAAAATGTTAAGCACACTTGGAGACTATAAAGTTCTTAATGTTAATTTCTTTTGATTTTCTTCTCGAATAATTTCGATCACAAAAATTTGAAAAATAAAGTTTTATTCTTGCCCACTTTTTTGGCCAATTCCATTGCTTTCCCTTTGATCTCGTCACCCAAATCAACAAAAGGATATATTTAAGCCTAAGAATTTTCTTTTCTTCCACTCGAAATATTTTAATGGATTATCAAGCATTTCATTGAAGATAGAATTTTTGTATGTACTCGATTTTCTGTCGGTTGGACATTTGTTAATAAATAATATTATTATCACACGTAACTGTTTAGGCATACATAATTTAAAACTTTCCTATGATTTCTTTTTATTCATTTGAAGACATTCGTACATTTAAATGTTCTTTATTTGTCTGTCGGGTCTACCAAATACAACTAATTTGCCTAATAGTGTTTTTTTTGTAGATAATAGTTCGTATATATTTTTTGTAAGCCAATAAATGTTTCTTGATTTTCTTCGTCATATATTATTACAAGGCGATCATTAATGATAGTTGTAAAGTCATGAGATAATTATCCAAAATATCCTAAACCTATTATACGATGGCCAGTTTAATCCTAAACATTTCAATTTGACCAATTTAGTCATAAACTTTTGAAGATTTGCCAATATAGTCCTTCCAGCTAATTTTAGCCTAAAGTCGCTGATGTGGATGTCGGCGAACCTCCGTAACATGATCACAAATTCAGCATGTTCCGGCCAAAAAGGATTACATTGGCAAATCATCAAAAAATTTATGACTAAATTGGTTAAATTGAAAAGTTTATGATTAAATTGACCGATGTATAATAGATTTAGGACCTTTTGGATAAATTTTTCCATATATACATGTGTCAATAGTATTGAAGTAGTAATGATGTTTTCTTGGGACAAGACTTTTAGCACTCTGTCATCCATTCAATCTTGGGTGCTTTTCACTTGCACGTAAGTGGTTAAAGGAATGAAAATGAAATACTTTTTGTCCACAGGTGCTTGTTTCGTAATATTCGGAGAAAATTTCTAGAGACTTTACTGGATACCATGAGCTTTTTTTGTCTAGAAAGTGAAGCAAAAGTGAAAAAAAGCTAACGGGAAAGAAACTTTAATAGATTCCAGGAAGACCAAGACTTTGGCTGCGTGAATGTCTCGGTTATCATTACCAAGGGTGTGCAAAAGAATCGGGAACCACCCGAATCGCCCGAGACTGCCCCGAAACCGATCGATAGTTCCTAAGGGAATCGATCCGGTTCCCGGTTCTAGGTGTGTAACCACCCACCCACCCACTCGGACCAGATCAGTAATATAATAATAATATATAATATTTTATTTATTTAATTTTTAACTTAAAAAAAGAAAAAATCATAAATCCCTAAACTAAACCTAATTCGCTTGACGTTCATAGCCTCACATTGAGCCGAGAAACACATTCTTTCGCTTTCGCCTTACTCTCACTCTCTCACTCTTCTCGGACGATGCTCACCTCACCGTCTTCGACTCTCCGTCTCCGTCTCCGTCTCCGTCCTTGGCTAATGGGACCGGTTTCATGGACCCACCCGGGAACCAGATCGGACCGGCAGTCCGGTTCCCGGGTGGATCCATAGAACCAACAGGCGGTTCCCAATTACAATTTTTTGGAACCGGTCCCTAGTGGGCGGTTTTCGATTCTAGGATGGGAACCGCCTACCCGGACCATGCTCACCCCTAACCATTACTAGCAACACTTCCATCTTGGTTATCATTGCTAGACAAACAAGCTCAAGATATCATATCGAACGCCAATATGGACATTTAATAGCTATTTAACAGCGTTAGTGTCGTGCCAACGTTTTCCATTTGCAATTTTAACGAAGACCTCACATTGACCCACACTTGAAAAATTGAGGTAATTCATTGAACGAAAAAAGAAAGTTCAAGTACTTGATTGCGAAAGGAATTATAGTTCAAGTACTTATGATGTCATTGTCCCGAAAAGTTTATCATACAATGGTTAGTCTAGGTTCAAATCTCAAACATAGTTTTGTTTAGGCGATACCTTTTCTACAAACTCATCCCCTCGATTCATTGCTCGGTTTCACTTTATTAATCATAAAACAAATGGCATCTTCTTCTGAAAATCCTAGCTATTCTTAGCATGATATTGGGGATTTTCTCTTGTAAGATTATTCATTCTTCCATGTGAAAGAGAACAGGAGATAGTTTTGTTAATTTCATGCGCAAAAAAAAAATTATTGGCTAAATGTCGAGCACATTGGGAGACTACAAAGTTCTCAATGTCGATTTCCTTTATATTTTCTTCTTGGAACCATTTGATCATAAAAAATTGGAGCTGTACACTTGAAATATTTGAGTGGATTATCAAAGATTTGATTGAAGTTCTTTGTAATTGGAAATTATATTAATCATATTATCATGTAATTGTACGGGCACACATAATATAAAATTTTGCTAGCATTTCTTAACCAATTACAACGATATTGCCTATATAATATTTTTTTGTAGATAATTTATTCCCTCTCTTACATCTACTCTGACCCGCAAGATACAAAATTGATACTACAAGGAACATATCGGACGCCAATGTAGACAGTTAACGGCTATAAATACTATTTTTTCATAAGCCAAGAAATATTCTCTGATTTTCTTTGTCATGTATTACTACTAGGAGACTATAAATGATAGTTGTAAATTTATATACCCATGTCAAAAGTATTGAAGTACTAGTGATCTCATCCATTTAATTTTGGTGCTTTTCACTGGCTTTATGGTAAGTCTTGTATTTGCTTTTTTTTTAACTTTCAATAGTCAATTAAAATCGACATTGCTTGCAGTTGAGGCCTCTACGGACCAAATTAGATATGGTTCAAGAATGCCAAGTTCTAAGGTTTGAGTAATATTTAGAAACAATCAACCACAGATACAGTTCATTTTGTTCTGATTCCTAATTTTTAATTACATGTAATCTTAAAATATGTGCGCAATTACCATATGTCTACGTCTGTGCGTAGCACATGTATGAACATTAGTAATCTAACAAAATTTCATATTTCATAATTAATTGACCTCATTAATTGGGTTCAAATCGAGATAGATTTTAGATCAAATCATCTGTTTTTTTAATCAATAACTTTTAGGAAAGGGAAAGTAAATAATTGATAGGGCTCATTAGGGAGGAGTGTACAACTTTACATATATATATCCTAATAGAGTCTACACATCGGCTTATAATCAGTGTGTATTTATTTTATAAATTGAATCTTTCAATTTAGGAACTCATGAGCAACAGTTAAAATAGTCTAGAACTTGTTGAATTTTTCCTATCTTTTTTATTAGTTCTATCTTATTTAAAGCAGAAGTGAGCTCATCAAGAGAGAAAACTATTTAGTCCAGGAAGACCAAGACATTCACCTACCAAAAACATTAAACAAAGATCAAGACCATGGCTTCTTCTTTTTCTTTTTCTTTTTTTTGCATCCGTACATTCTCAGTAACCTTATGATTTCAATGTCTTTGCTTTTTGCGTTACTGGTGAATATGCGATCAATGTAGGCCTTTGCATGGTTTTCCTGTTCGTAAGTGTAATGCCTACAGTATAATTTCTAGCAGATTGTGCATTGTTAGTCGTCGATGCCTAACCCTTTTTCTTGTCTAGTGATGAATGAAGCTGGCCACAATTAAGAGGACTGACAAACAAGCATCTTTGTGAAACTTGCCCCGACTGAAATAAATATTCACGATCCACCTCACAATGGCATCTTACTTTCTATTAGACATCTACAAGTCATCAAAGATAGCTAACTTTGACTATTCGATAAGG